CGTTTTCAGCATGGGGGCATATTGAAGAGATCTTTCATATTTCATGAAATGCCTCTTTACAATGCCACACATCTGTCTGGCAGAGCATTCTCTGTCCTCTCACTTTAACATTTTATTTGAATCTCAGCTGTTAACATGCATTACCTTCAAGCCACGTTATTGCCCTGCACTGTCCACTACATTGTACCGCTACACTGAGCTGCTTTAATTTGTCAGTGTCTCATTTACATGAATTTTCTTTTTAGCTTGAGATATTTAGATATTATTCTTTTTTTGCTGAGCTACATCTTAACTACTGAAACAAAGAGATGTTCATAGTATGATTGGACTGGGAGTGAGCTGTGCTGCATACAGGGCGTCGTTATAGTGCAGACTTGTTGGCTTGACTCAGTCTGTGCTGTGTGCTGGCAACGTGCCATCATGAACTAAATCAGAGTTGATGTCTGGCACACTTCTTATTCAGATATCAAAAAGCATGTGATAATAGGATGGCTAGTGGCACAGAATACAGATTGCAGTCTGGAAAATGAGGGTGGAATTTTTTCATACACGCACATTCAAACTTAATGTGGGGAACCAACAACAGTCTATGCATCTACTTTTTGACGATACACTAGATAAACTAAACTAAATCACAGAATATAACTAAATGCTATAATAAAAAGTGGATTTAGAGAAAAATAAATAAATTAAAACTAACCTGGGTCTGTGTTGTGTTCATGCTATAAATAGTCACATTTTGATCAAATCTCTGTGACACCTGCACAAAAAAGGAAAAACCAAAATAGCTCCATTCTAATTTGTGATCTGTCACAAATATTGGAAGTCCCCATGGACCTATATTCAACCGCACAACTGTTTTAATATGGAGCTATTTTCATTATCATACTCTGACTACGTTCTTACTTTACTTTGGTCTCATTGCTCATTAAGGAAAAGTTATTTTGTAAAAATGATTCTTCCTTAACTGTATCTTGAACTTTTTTCTTTGCTTTAAATGGAGGAGTGTTTAATTATTCAGTGTTATTATTATTATTAGTAGAAGTAATATTGTTGTTGTTGTTATGACTATTCAACTGTACACTGGAACAAGTCCTGAAAGCTAAAGAATAACAAGTTAATGTATAGAACAAATGTGCTGTGTTACTAATATGTGAAAATAAAACTGCTCTCATGTAACTAGTTAGAGTATTGTTAATCACACACTTCATAGACCATGAGATATTTAAAAAAATAGACCAGTGCTGGTTATCGCATCTGAAAATATACCATTATATTTGGTCTAAACTGGTGCAGCAGTCTTCTGGGTCTGTGCCCACAGCCTACTGTCTCCAGCTGTTTGCCCTGTG